GTGTTCCACCCATAACAGAGAAAACGTAAGATCCAAAGCAGCTGCTTTGAGGTAGACTGGGTCTGAAAACGGGGCAGTGATCCCATCTTGTGTTCTGGCCATTTTCACATTGACAAAGATTCCAAGAAATCTGTTGTTCAGGGATACTTGGAGACTTCTGACCAGACCACTCAGGAAATAGACTTGAGGCTTCAGTTTTTCAAGGTGGTGATTGAGGGACAGCACAGAAGGAACAACAGCACTGATTGTGACTACCTTCTCCCCCTGTGTCATATCAGTTGCTTCCCCAAAAGGCTTCAAGATGTCCATCTCTTTCAACAGGTTCCATTCTTGTGCTGTGAATGACAACTCCTTGTGCCCAGCCTTTTCTAGAACAGCACAAAGATTTGGATGATCACACTGCAGAAGTGCCTTCACTTGCCTCATTGTTGAGTTCCATCTTGTGTTGGTAACAGCAGGGATACTTTTTTGTTCCCCAAATTCAGCTTCGAAAGCGTCTTTGAATGTTGTGCTTGTGTGCAGCAGTGAGCTGAGTTTGGATAACTTTGAAAGAGCAGGAGATGCTACTTTAGTTTCTTTTAAGCCATCTCTCACCACTAGCTGAAGTGTGTGTGCAAAACACTGCAAGCGCTGTTTCTTTGCCATAGCAGCATCTAGTGTTTCCTGCTCTTCCAGGGATAAGTCATGCCACAGCTCTGGGTCATCAAGATGATCCCCATCATCGTCATGCACCTCATCTTGAGTGGGGAAGCATACAGTGAATGCTTTCCGCATGTTTGCAGCATTATCGCTAATGATGAAGTCCAATTTTTCTTTAATGTTGTATTCATCACATATTGCCTCAAATTGTTCACAGATTCTGTCACCGGTGTGTGAGCCTTTGAAGCGGTCACAGCCCAAGAGTTTGGATTTTAGTTGTATCCTCTCCATATCTTTCTCTATCCAGTGCACAGTGACACCAAGGAAACCCCTCATCTTTCGGTCAGACCAAATGTCCACAGTGACTGAAACATGGTCTGTGTTGCTCAACTGAGTTTTTAATATTAAACGTCTCTCTGCAGCGAGTTTCTCTGTTTTTGAAGTCATTGTTTTGCGACACACTGGACTGTACTTACTGTCCACTACTGTCAGAAAGTGCCGAAAACTCTTATTTTCCACAATAGACAGGGGCAAGTTGCAACCAATAATCAAGTCAGACAATATTGAATTGGTGATAGCTTTCTGCTGTGGATGACTCATGCTATACTGCCCTACATGGATGTCCAGAAATTGTGAGATTGAAGGCTGTTCTGGTTCATTTGTGATGCTTTTGTTCATCTGGTATTCTTCAAATCTGTAAGATGTCATCGTATTAGCACATGTCAGAAAATTCCATGTAGTTAAACATGAATTGCATTTAGCAAATTATGCTATGTTGCCCATGTTAATACATAAATTGTAATATTGAGCATTTCTATTAATACTGTGTGCGTGCGTGTTATTACTAATATACTTTATTTCAGGAGCAGCATCAAAGTTACACTAGTCCTCACCATGCGTCAGTGACAGATAGTGAGCTAATAGACGACTTGTTGATTATAAATCTTGGATGAGTTGACTACTGGACTCAATACATACAAACTGGATGGCATGCCATGAGCGTGGCTGTAGCACGTTTCCTGATAAGCTAAAGTTAGCTTAGCATTAGTTCGTGAGCTCTACTTACCGTTCTTTGTGAAACTTCAAATGTCGAACGAAGTTGGAATTTGTTGCATCTTGGTCCGTAATCTTCGACCCACATGTTCTGCATACTGCAATTTGTTTTTTGTTGACCACTTCATAGTTTTTGTACCCGAATGAAATTATCTTTGGTACCATAGTTGCAGAGTGCTGCTTTGTTTACCTTCCTGGATTCATTTGATTGGCTACTGTGCTGACAGGTCACACATACATACACACAGGTGCAGAGAGCGAGGGGGAGGAGTGAAATGAATGGATTAGTGCACGCATTTAAAAATGTTTTAATATTTGGGTTTGTATCAAGTCTTTTCAAGTCAAAGGGCTCAAGTCCGAGTGAAGTCACAAGTCATTGGTGTTAAAGTCCAAGTCGAGTTGCAAGTCTTTTTACATTTTTTCAAGTCGAGTCTAAAGTCATCAACTTAATGACTCGAGTCCAAGTCATGTGACTCGAGTCCCCACCTCTGCTTGCCTGTGGTGGGATATATGCAATAAAGGAAGAGTACTCCCTTAGTGAATAGATCAGTCTGCAGACTTGGTCACAGAATAGTGACTCTAAGTCTGTGTTGCAAGTTTTTTCTAACACCATGACATCTTTACACCAACCTTCATTTATTTATATAGAAGCAGATTCCGCCTCCTTATGTTTTCCCAGATAACAACTTTGTTACACAGTCCGCTCTCTGTACCTGGAACCCCAGTAACTGTATTCCACTGTCCAAGATGGAATTGCAGAGCCAAGTTTCTGTGAAGCATAGAGAAACAGAATGTGAGAAGTCCAAGTTAACCTGGTTGACAATAAGAAGCTTATCCATTTTGTTGGCTAGAGAGCGGAGATTAGCTAGGTGTGTGGATCTTCACTGGCAATATTTTCTTCAGGTCATACAGAGAACTGCTGACCATAATGTCCACACGGCCTTTTGAGTTAGTAAAGCTGGGAGAGAAAATATTCAGAGTGAGTCTTCTAATGTTTAGGAGCCCCTCTCTAGTAAAAGTAATCTGAGATGGGTTGCAGAAGACTGGAAGAAATAAAAAACAAACACACGAAAGAGTGGACAACCGAGACAGTTGTTGGCGGCACCATGTTAATGTTACCACATTACTTTGATAATCTATATACAGTTGGGAAAGCCAGGAAATTATCGTTTTATTTAGATTTTTCATAGTTTGTTTAGAGTTGCTGTCTCTTTCTTATCCAGCCCATCAGCTTGATTCATGGGACTCGCATTTTGAGAAGTATTTTAAAAAAAATCTATTATGAAAGATCTTCAGAACAACAGTAATAGTGGCTACCTAATTAACTTCTAGATAAAAGGAACTCTCAGAACTGAATGTATGCTAACACGAGAGGCTCAAACTGACACTTGAGAAGAGCTAATGTCATTATATATTTGAAAATCAAATTTAAACTGAAGTCAAGCTGTGGTAATTACCTGTCCAGTAGAAATACTGCCAACTCTTCATCACTTTTAGGTCCTGTGATGTTCCTGGGTAAAGAAAAGTGTCTCCAAATACAAATGGACTGGGTATTATTCAGAACGAGGGGTAATGGAGGTGAAGGTGGCAGCACTGTGAGTGCATGAGATGACTGACAGTAGATTCTTACAAATGGCTATAGAGATACTAGCAGGAGCCAAAGGAACTTGATGTGTTCACAGAAGATCTGTCTTATGTGTTACGTTCAGGATATGAGAGTTTCAGCAAATATGACAAAAGCAATTTTTATAAAAGTTACAGAGCCCAGCTTTAAGAATTCTGTTTTCATAGTTTCTACAACAGTAGTGCTTCTTCTGACATTTTATTGTGGATCTTTTGTGCTGTTATCCCGGCGGCATGGTGACTCAGTGGATAGCACTGTTGCTTCACAGCAAAAAAGTTTCAGGTTCAAGCCCTGGCTGACCTGGTACCTTTCTGTGTGGAGTTTGCATGTTCTTCCTGTGCCTGCGTGGGTTTTTTCTGGGTACTCCGGCTTCCTCCCACAGTCCAAAGCTTGTGGCTTAGCTTGATTGGTGACTTTGAATTGCCCGTAGGAGTGAGTGTGGGTGTGTGGTTGTCTGTTGCTAAGTGTCAGCCCATTGATAGACTGGAGAAGAGGTGGAATATTCTTGTCTGGCCAAGTCAATCAAGTGATCTCAGTTCGCCTTCCAATTGCTGAAGGCAAACAGACCCCGAAACACATAGCAGCTGAAGGTGGCTGTAGTGAATGCCTGGGCGAGCAACACTAAAGAAGAACAAAACATCTTTTCCTGCAAAGGGTTTTACACAAATTATTAAATATGGTTATTTTGTTTGCATTCATGTGTTATTTGTCCACTTGCTTTTAAATTTGGGAAACATTGCCCTTTCAACACAAAATGCCCACACAGTTCTTTCTATATTGATCTAAACCTGCTCAAATCCATTTTTATGCCTCCATGTAGGGCTGCACAATAAATCATTTTGTGCACATGATTTAGGTTGCTATGCGATCTCAGTCTCATGTCACAATAAATCTGCTGTGTTTGCATTAATTAACTGGGAGATGCGTTGCATCAAACCAAGTGCTCTTTTATCCTCTAAGCTGCAATAACCAAGAGCGGGAATGTGTTACATCACACTACGAGCTGTAGACAGGAAGAGAAGACTGATTCAAACACAAATCCAATGTGGTTGACATAGTGAAATATATTTTATACCCTCCTGCAATTTTTGGGGTGTTGCGCTGCCTGCCCTATAAACCTAGCACCAAATAGCAGTTGAGGCAGTTTTGGTTATTGGTTAAAGCAGCTTAGTGAAGAAAAGGGAGAGCTTATTTTGATGCATGGCATCTAAGTGCTAATGCAAACATGGCAGAATCATTCTCACGTGAGACTTAGGTTGCATAGATATCTAAATCATGCTCACAAAATGATTTATTGTGCATAGAATTTTTTTGATTTACTAAAAATTATTTGTTTCTCTTCTGTGAGATCTGACAGTAGGCTTTATGAGGAGTAGTTGTCACTTCTGACATTTTTTGTTACTCTTGCTCCAGCAGTCCAAAGGCGAGAAAGGGGAGCGCCATGCTGTGGTGAGTATTTTTTAACTTTATGTTTAAGAAGTTTATTTCACAAAGCGCTTGAACTTTAACTCTAACTAGTTCCTTGTTGTGTCTGTGTTTCTGTTTCTCTTCCCCATACTGTCATCCTTTGATTTTTCTTTCTACTTTTCTTTTCATTTTTGTCTTCTTTTTTGGCTATTCAATGCATCTGCAGAAGCGGAAATCATCTTCTCTGCTGGATGCTCGTATGGCTAAGATTTATCGACGACAGAGACACAGTCGCGATGGAGATGACTCTGCTACTGATGATGATGATGAAGGTTTATCTATTTTAAAAAGTTAACTTAAAGAATCTTTTCAGTCTACTGCCCACATGTCAAGTCTACTTGGTTTCTGATACAAAAAAAAGAATAAAAGAATGTTTCTCTAAAAAAAAGTCTTCTTGAACTAAAATAATACCTGAACCGTAATTTGACATCCATATATCTTTTGTTGGTATTGTAATCATGTTAATCCAACCTCATTGTCTGTTCCATACATCTGTCTATCTCTGCAGCCTCTCAAAGAAGGACAATGATGATTTTTGCGCGAGGGGGAAGCCACACTTCAAAGAGGGGATTTAGTGCCAACAGAAGAGGCCTGCTGAGAGGAGGCTCAGCCCTGAGAGGAAGGAGAGGAGGGCTCATGTCTCCTGGCTCCTTCTCCGTCCTCAAGTTAAAGCGAGGGATAGGCATGAGGGAGAGTGGACGGAGGGGACGGGGAGTGAGGCTGCGGGGAGGCACTAGAGTGCAGCGACGAGGAGATGAGTCTGAGGAGTCAGATGATGATGATGACGAAGAGGAGGAGGAAGAGGAAGACAGTGACGATGGAGACAAAGAACGACAGCATCGTCAATGTAGGAAGAGGCGCAGGACTGACGAAAATGAAGATGAGGACAGTGAGGGGCAGGAGTTTGACCCAGATGAGATGGACATGCTGGAAGAGGAGGAAGAGGAGGAGGAGGAGGAGGTGGAGGAGGAGGAAGAGTTAGAGGAAGATGGGCACTGGGATTTGGACCCAGAACCTCCAGTCCTTCTGGTTTCTGATCTGAATGATGACCTGCTGAGTGGATCCTACCTGACTGTCACCCTACAGCACCCCCATAAGGCCAAGAGACAATCTGGTAAGACTTTAAAACCCAACATTTATGGTGTAGTAAATTAAATTTTGGTCATCCAAAATAAAATGTAAATTCAAAATGAACAAGTTAAACTCTGACACAAATGTGTTGTCGCTGCTCAGACTCTATAGTTCCCAAGCTAGAAGCAGCCATGGGTCTGAGGACAGCTGCAGTGGGTGCCATCCAAAGAAAGGCTGCTCCATCCAGACCTTTAAGACTCAAGAGTACTGACACCACAGCTGACACTGTAACTCCAAGAGGACCTGGCAGGTAGATATTGTTATTTGGTTTAATTGCAGCAACATCCTAAACTCGCATACATTTAGTTTGAGCAGAAGTTCTTTTGAAGGAAATCACAATCTCTTTTGTTTTTGTACCTTGTGGAAAAGATTTGGATATATATACACCACTTGGGAAGTTGGTCAGCCTCATCTCAGTATGTAGTTTTAGCTTTTTTGCAAATGAGGCCCATCACTGTTGTATTGAGATTTGAATTGGATCTACCAGTGCTGTCATGGGTCATCAGGGAAAACAGTAATGGACTGAGCACACATCCCTGAGGAGGCACTGTGCTCATTGTGGTGGTACTCGGTGATGATGGTGATGTTCTGCTACCATTCTGGAGTGACTGTAGTCTCCTTGTAGGTGTTGAGGTCCAGCATGTCCAGGTTCCCCACTGGGTCACAGTGGGGTGGAGGGCACATCAGAGGATCTAAAGTTTTTTATTACAGTTTTTCTCATTATAGGCCACAGTCACTTCAGAAAGGATTCCCACGCCTACATTTTATGCACAATTTACTACCATTGTTTACCCATCTATGGGGGAGAAATTCAAATAATTTAATGCTGTTGCGGTTCATCATGGTGTCCACTTTCATATTCTGACTCAAACATGTCAGGTAGAATTTGAGGTATTGTCACTGTTGAAAACCTAGCTTATTTGTCAATGTTTTCGTTTATGCATTGTCCTGGCCTCCTGACCAGTGTTGAAAAGTGTTCCCCCATTGAGATGTTTTTCCCCTGTTCAAAACTCGGTGGTTGTGGTTAGGATAATGTTAAGGCTAAGGTTCAGGTTAGGGGAAATGCATCTCGATGGGGAAACAGATTTCGACACAACACCAGCAGCAGGAGTTGTGCACCTTCACAAACTATCATCTCATTTTCAGTTCAGTTCAGTTTTATTTGTATAGCGCTGGAACACAACAAAAGTCATCTCAGGACACTTGAGAAAGTAAGGTCTAGACCATGAGCAAGCACGACAGCAGGGAGGAAAAACTCCCTGTAATGGAAGAAACCTCCAACAGACCCTGGCTCTTGGTAGGGGTGAGTGGATAGAGGAGAGAAAAAAGTAGAGAAAAGCAACAAGACGCAACAAACAATCAGGCACTGGGCAGGTTGATGTGGCCAGTGACTGCTCATCAGAAACACAGAGCTCCAGCTCTGATCAATGAGGTCAAAAGCAGCACTGAGATCTAAGAGAACAAGCATAGAGACAAGTCCCTTAAAATTCTGTGGAACACAGCCTCTTAATAGAGAGAGGTTAATTAGATCTAATATGGACGTGTTGATTAGGGCTAAAATGTCTTTGAGCAGCCTAGTCGGGATGAGGTCTAAGAGACAGCTTGATGATTTAGAGCATACGTGTCAAACTCAAGGCCTGCGGGCCACATCCAGCCCAGCCTACAATTATATCCGGCCCACGAGATCATGTTGTACATCTTTTTTTTTTTTTAATGGCCCAGCGATATAAAGCGCCAAAAAATCACAGACTTCAAATCCCATGATGCAGTGCAACAGCTGCCTTACCAAGTGATGGGCTACCTGCGATCATTCCTGCATCAATTACATCAGATCAATCAAGTGTCTGTTGATGTATACAACCCTAATTTCAAGTCAAAGCTAGCCCCTAACAGTGGCCAAGAGAAAAGTTGATTCTGAAAACAGAGCCTTTCAAAACCGGTGGGAGGCTGACTATATGTTTACTGGCATTGCCGGTAAACCTGTGTGTCTTATTTGTGGAGCTAATGTGGCCGTAATTAAGGAATATAATCTAAGACGGCACTAAGCCGTCCCTGGTAGGCCAGTGGTTAGTTAAGGTACAGCGCTCTCGCTGCTGCAGCACGGGTTCGAGTCAGGGTTGTGTCAGGAAGGGCATCCAGGGCGCAAAAACACGTGCCAAATGTCAACATGCGATCGTCAGTGATGAAAGGGACTTTCTAATCTAAGACGGCACTACGAGACAAAACATCAGGACAAGTTGAAAACCTGAATGCAGAGTAGAAGATACAGAAGGTAGAGGAGTTGAAGAGGAATCTGACATCACAGCAGATGTTTTTCACCAAAGTGAAATCACAAAGTGAAGCTGCTGTGAAAGCAAGTTTTATTGTGACAGAGGCGATGAAGATTAACAAAACATCACACAGGAGTCGTCTCATTGATGAACACCTGCAGTCCAACCTGAGAATCTCCACAACACAGAACCTTACCCCAAACATAAAATGAACTTGTTGCCAAGAAAAGATGCCAAGTATCCAGCTCTGGAAAAAAAATGGCATAAGAGCAAAGAAAATGGAATGTTTTGATTTATCATTTTAACTTTTACTTAAAAGCACAGTTTATTTTTTTATTTTTTTCAGGTTTTTTGCAGCATGTTCATATTTTGAATTTGTATAATTTTGACGAGATATTTTTATGGAAAACAAAATATTTTAAGTTATTTTAAGTTTTTTTAAGTTTAAGTTTATTTATTCTGGAATAATGTTGTATCCTGTCTGTTTTGATTCATATTTATGCTCAAAAATCATTTATTTTTAGCCTGTTCAATAAATGTTTGTCCTTGAGTTTGACACCCCTAATTTAGATGAAGCAATTGAGTTCAACTCTAAGATAGATGGGAGAGAACTTGTACGGTCATATGGGAGAGAAGCAGCATACATATAAATGAGGTCTTATAGATTTTTCTAAAGCCATTATACTTGATGGCACATCTGTGAGAGTTGTGGGAATAATTTGATAATTTTTTTTTCTCTAATAGCTGTGATTTTATTTGTAAAGAAGCTCATGAAGTCAGTATGTCATTGTGTGGGAGTAAAGTTAAGGTGGCTGCTCTTCATTGTGTTGGCACATGGCACTGTAGGGCTACATCTAGGAGGCCCCACACTGGCTACATGGGACTGGCTTTTGAGTTTTCCAGTTTGGGTGCAAGAGACTCAGAGTGAGGCTTTCAAATGAGTTATAACTATGTTTAGGCCTAGGTTTGAGTTGAAGATTGCTGCCACAGTACAAGGTCTTCAGCGCTCAGAGACATGGCCAAGATAAGGAAGGCTGAAACCTGACCACCACTGAACAAGACACACAAGTTGAAACGTCAAGACTGGGCCAAGAAATATCTGAAGACAAATTTTTCAAAGGTTTTATGAACTGATGAGATGAGAGTGACTCTTGACGGACCAGATGGATGGGCCTGTGGCTGGATCAGTAACGGGCATAGAGCTCCACTTCGAATCAGATGCCAGCAAGGTGGAGGCGTGGTACTGGTACGGGCTGGTATTATTAAAGATGAGCTAATTGTCTGGCCTTCTAATTGAGTTCACCCTCGACATTATCAGCAGCTTTGCACGCTGTCCCTGGCAATGTATGGGAAACACTCGAGAGGAAAGCTTACTTTAAGCAGACAACTGAAGGGCCTTGTTGATATCTGGCTTTTTTCTGTTCTTCTGTCCTGGTGTGTATGGCTTTAACCTTACACTGGTGTTTTGATCAAAATGCTTGTTTAGAATCCTGTCTGTGATTGGCTTTTATGGAAACAGTCACTGTGAAGGTAACAATGACGTACGCCTGCTCCGTATAATACTCTCTCTAATAATCGGTATATTTCTCTTTATTTGCTGGGGAAATAAACAGTAGGTCATGGTAAGGTAATAATGTTTTAATGAAGTGCTACTGAGTAACTGCTTGAATGAATGTATCACTGTCTGAGGAGGGCACAAGCTGTACAGGTAATGGAGAACTGAGGGGGCCATATAACAGCAGAGGAAGTAGAGGGACTACTTTGTAGGCTAACTAATCAGTGTGATGCATAAGTGTTTGAGGGTTCACTAAAGTAACATTTAAGTAATGAGTAATGAATGAGTAGTTACTATTTTGTACCCTACAGTGTTTTAGAATGGCAGGTAATTAAGAATGACTCATGAAGAAAGTGGGGAATATGATCGACTTATCCATAATTATAAACCAATCACTACCTAATGAATCAGTGATATAGTATCTCCCAGTCTGACTAATCATTAAAGTCCTATAGTAGAGGTTATTAGGGAAGTGCTTATGAAAACACAAATCTTTCATGTACTTGTAACTGTGCACATATTTGTGTACCGTATTGTAAAGTTTTACCATTTATTTTGTTTTAACAGTGACAAATAAGAGGTATCCAGAAAGCAGGTTCAGTGAGTACTCTGGGTTGTTCACCCCGAGTTATGCTAAATAGGACAGTTAGACTAATAAGAGCTGTGACTATATTCACTATACCAGTGTTTAACTACAATGGTTTAAATAGACAACAGCTGACACTCCACCAAAGATTTCTGTAAATGTAAGGTCAATAAATGCTCTGATGTCAATTTGATTAGACCTCTATTTGGCCCAAACAGAACCGTTCTGAACAGTTCCTGCCTTTTGTGGGTGTGTGTGGTATGTATGCATTTGACATCATGAACCTGATTTGATGTTTTCTTGGTTATCTTTTAGGCCACGTTTGCGGTGTAACCATGGTGACAGAGGAACTAGAGATCACTCTGCGTCTTCATCAGAGGAAGAGGAAGCTGCTACTCCTGCCTCTTCCTCCTTGTCTCCTCCGTCTATGCTGATTCTGCCATCCTTTAAGGATGTGGGCAATGAGAGAGGAGGGGAGAAGGAGGTGTGGGTATCTGTCTTTAGATACTTGAGCAGAGCTGAGCTGCTGGCCTGCATGACTGTTTGTAAGGCCTGGTACAAGTGGTACGTGTCTCGCTTTTATACAGCAAACGAAACACATAACATATACTATGGGGGATATTTACTGAACTTTCTGAAAATTATGCTCAGGTTTGCAAAATATTGAGGGACCACAATATTTCAATTTACCTGCCTATTTATCAACACTGATGATGTAAGTGAGCACAGCCACAGCAGTCTTAATTTGAATATACCTTAGATTAGGATCTAATATCATAGATTAGTAATCTATGGGATGATTGGTTCCCTGTTATCATCAGGTGTTTACAGTTGTCTCACATCTACTTTAGGGAAGACTGTGTACTGCAGGTACAAGAAGAAGGCAAATTTTTTGCTGCTATGCTTGGGTTGTAACCCACCTTTTGAACATACAATATATTGCATTTAATCCTTACCATGAGAGCCATCAGAATAAAGGCTTTTAAATTAATTTTCAGGAGTGCCTTGGATTTTTCCTTGGTTTATCTATTTTTGCTCCCTTTTTCCAAAGAGCACCTTTGGAGTGAATGTCCTGAGCTCTCTATCTTCTCTTCTTTTTACAAGTCATTTTTTATTTTGTTCAGTAATTGAATGGTGTGACCTGAAAGCCTGTAAAAGTCAGTCACATACTACAAACACCCTCTCCCCTCCCTCCTCAAACGTGTTCTTAACTCTAAGATGAATAACAGTTGCCACACTGATGGCATGGCCGTAAATTCTATACCTGCTTTCCCTGATGTTAAATTTCAGCCGTAATTCCATAAATCAGGGTAGGATAAATCAGGTCCTGAGGGTATTTGTATACATTTCCGTCTCTCCTCCCTTAAAATACATATTGCATGAGACCAAATGCACAAATTCCTGTGGTGCTGCCTATTTTCCCCTTTTTCTCTGGCACAAAATCCCATTGCAACTTCTTAGTAAGTATGAACACATGCAATTTCTCTCTTTAGCACCAAAGAATGAGCCACAAAACCTTAGTAAATGTCCCCCTAAGTCATTGATTTTCCCAAGTTGTGACCTTGTTAACAGAAAAGTTGAGCTTCAGCAAAACGTGTATAAACTAGTCCTGTAACATGCAGGAGCTGTGACAAGCGTCTGTGGAGTCGCATAGATGTCAGTCGGTGCAACCCAATCAGTAACCAGTCCCTAGCAGGCATTGTCAAACGCCACCCCACCTCTCTAGACCTGTCATGGACCCCCCTGGCCAAGAGACAGCTCAACTGTCTGCTCACAAGACTCCCAGGTACAAACACAGACGACTAAAACATACACAGAGATCACCCTGTCCCTACATGTCTCATTACACCCTGTCTGTCTGTGTGTGTCTTTAGGTTTGAGAGAATTGAGGGTGGCTGGTCTGCCCTGGTCCTCTCTGTCAGCGCTGGTCTCCCCAACTCTGCCCTGCCTGCAGCTGCTAGACTTGCGTTGGTGTGAAGGCCTTAAAGACACCCAGATTAAAGAGATAATCATCCCACCTGGTCAGTGTCATCGTAAATTAGCCGACTCAAAGCTCAGTTCTGTATATCACAGGCTCTGTTTAGGTGTTGGCATGGAGTACAGTGTTGCACTGGTGAAATGGTGTATAACTGGGCAGCACTCAGGTTGAGTCCTGTCCTGCACTGGTTGGGTACCAGTTGGGAGTGCAGTAACAGGTGTTGTGAAGCCAATCCAGCAGCATGCTACAATCTTGGTACCTAGTTCATCTTGTACAAGCCGCTGCCCTCCTCACCACATAAAACTTTCTGAAATTGTGCAAAACTCTTTATTCATGTTATTTTTTGTTATCCTCTTATATTTTGATTTTCAACCACCTAACAGGATCATCACAGAAAAATACAATTGTATAACTGTTATAGCATTAATGCTATAATTACTTGCAGGGACCATCATCAAAGTGCAACACCAAAACGAGATGATACAAAAATATTCGCACTTATTGTAGCCCAGTGTCACCAAAATAACTTGTACCACAACACTTAGTTTGGAAAAATATATCTACGTGTAGTTTAAACCCTTAATATGCTCCCAAAACACTTTAATTTAATGTCAAACTCAACTTAATACATTATCCTTAACAGAATAATGTATAAAGTACTGTACAGTAAACCCATATACTGTATGGTATTGTACAGTCTCCCGCAGTACAGTGTACAGCATAATGTAAAATAGCAATGTTACCCCTATATGTATAAGCATGCTTTCCTTGGTATGCACTGGTGTTGTTTTCTTTGGTATATGATGGTAGAATATGGGTAAAGGCAGTACAGGTACAGTAATAATTTAACTAAATAAAAGATGTTGTAAAAATTTAAAATAAATAAATAAAAAATACAGCAAAATGTGCGGGTACTCACCAGTAATAAATGATTTAATTGAAGATCAATCAAGAAGTTCAACCTTCTCCTGGAGCATCTTAAACCTCTTAGGGCAGGGGTCCTCAACCCCCGGGCCCTGGACTGGTACCGGTCCATGGATCATTTGGTACCGGGTCACAAAGAAAAAAATTTGTGGTTAAAATTATAGTTATTTTTCTTTCATTAGTCTTAGTTTGAAAAAAACGACTGTTTCTGCCCTTGCCTCACTACTGCACTTGACTCTGGCACGCCATTTTACGCATCAGCGACACAAGCTAACCTTTTTAAAAAATGAGCCAAAAACAAAATTCACTGAAGAGCTTTTTCAGGAAGGAACGAGCAAACGATGGGAAAGCAAAAGGGTCACAGGCTGCCAGCAAAAAGAAAGCCGCATTTAAAAGAAAATACCACAATTCCTACCTAAGTTACGGGTTCATCACAACAGGTGATACACAAGCTCCACATTTGCGGTGACTGACTAGCTAATGAAGCCATGAAACCCTCAAAAATGCTTCGCCACATTGAGACAAAACACCCTGCATTAAAAGACAAGCCCTTGGAATTTTTTTCTAGTTGCAGGGAAATAAACCCAGGGCTCCCACTGACTCTGCATTATAGTGAGTTGATATTATAGTGTAGAATTGTAGAATGTGCCGCACGGCGTTTGGGAGGCATCTTAGGGCTTGAGGAATAGCAAACTGAAATTGCAAAAACACTTGGAGAAACACTCAAGATCTACACGCGGTAAACTGAACAGTGCGGGGATGTTGGGCAGCATTACGTACGATAATATTTATGTTTATGAGAGCAACAAAGCATCATGGCCCCCCAGCAGACTAGGCCTAGAGTGGCATAACTAACTGTAAACGTTACCAAAAATGAAGGTCAACATTCGTAAAAATACCACGGAGGATATTTGCAGATTCCGCAAATTTGCAGGGGATCCGCAGAGATCTATTAGTTAGGTTCCAAGGAAAAATCTGCGAAATCTGCACCCTCATCTTGCTCATTGTCATAGGTGTGTCTGAATGAAGCTAAAAAAGCACAAAAACAAGCTACTTACATCTCAACTGTCTCACAGCCAGCTGTTTCGATGCGAAAATAGGTTGTAGCTTGTTGTCAGCCTTACTACATTTTACAAATTAAAATCAAGACTACTCCTCTTACAGAACAAAAATGGGAGAAATATGATCTTTCCTGCTAGTTCCTGTCAGTACTCTGGCTGCAGCATTTTGGATAAACTGGAGGCTTTTTAGGGAATTTTTGGGACATCCTAATAGTAAAGAGTTAGATTAGTTTAGCCTATACAGCAGGAAGAATACACTCACCAGCCACATTGTTAGGTACACCTGTACAATTGTATGCAATTCATTGCAACACTTTGGCCTTAACATTTGTGTTTATGAAGCTCAAAATGTTTGTTTTTGGTGAAAGTGTCATAAATGCATAAATTAAATTTTCTTTATTATTAAGATTATAGGTAAAGGTGGTGGTGTACTGGACTACATTATATTTAGAGGTGTCTATATTTCTGTCCTCCTCAGCTAAATACATGCGTGTTTCCATGCTGTGATAAATCAGCTGTGCCAGGCCTGCTCAGTTGTCTAACATGGGGAAATTCCTGTGTCCAATTTAGTGCAGTTCTTTTAATCCCAATAATATGTTCTAGTCTCTGTAGTAAAATGCTGTGATTAGTGGTGTCAAAAGCAGCACTGAGAGGACAAGCATAGAGAATGTGGACGTCATAGATAACTGGAAAACATTTTGGGGAAAACCTGGTCTGATTAGCAGAGACAGCACCATGGACTCTAAATCCTGACTGAAAATCCTCAAACAAATCATTCTTGTTCAAGTGATCACATAACTGCTTTGCAACAGCTTTTTCAAGGATTTTAGAAATAAACAGGAGATTGGATATTTGTCTATAATTAGCACAGAACACCTGGGTCAAGAGTAGGCATTTTGAGTAGAGGTTTAATTACTGCAACCTTAAAAACCTGGAGAACATAGCCTGTTAATAGAGCGAGGTTAATCAGATCTAGTATGGATGTGTTGGTTAGCGGTAAAACATCTTTGAGTAGCCTTGTCAGGATGGGGTCCAGGAGACATGTTGATGACTTAGATAAAGCAACTGTTGAGGTAAACTCGGACAGATCAATGGGAGAGAAGCCGTCTAAATATAAATGAGGGCTTACAGATGTTTCTAAAGCCACTGTACTTGATGACACATCTGTGAGAGTTGTGGAAAGAGTCTGATAAATTTTTTCTTTAATAGTTGTGATTTTATTTGTAAAGAAGCTCATAAAGTCATTACTGCTGAGATCTAAAGGAATATTAAGCTCAACAGCACTGTGGCTCTTTGTCAGCCTGGCTACAGTGCTGAAAGGAAACCTGGGGTTGTTCTTATTTTCCTCTATCAGTGATGAATACAGTTCTGGCACTACAAAGGGCTTTTTATATGCTATTAAACTATCTTTCCAGGCTATGAAAAACTCTTCTGTTAATACTGCTTATTATCTTATACTAGCCTTATGTTGGTTTACTGTTTACTTGCCCCTTGCATGGCCATATGTACATGCACATTGAGAGCTGATGTACCAGAGTCAAATTCCTTGTGTGTCTGACACACCTGGTCAATAAAGCAGATTCTGATTTTGATTCTTAGTGGAATGCCACTTCCTTTCCATTTGTCATGATGCCTGCTTTAGGGAGTGGAGCTGTTCCACGGGGCCTCCTCTGTTTCACTGCCTTCTTTTTCAGAGGGGCAACAGAATCAAGTGTTGAACGCAGGGAGGCTGCATCACTATCAACAAGATTATTTCTTGACACAGAAGTTCAAACTCAGTTTCCAGCCTTCTTTTATCAGCTCTGTTTTCTCATGTCCTTGACTATTTCATTATCTGTAACAGCACCTACATCACCATGAACACAGACACCTGTTGAACTGGACTACATTGTTTTCAGAGGTCTCTATATTTCTGTCCTCCTCAGCTACATACATGGGAGGATCAGAATATCAGGAACACCTCTGAATATAATGTAGTCCAGTACAACACCACCTTTAACTATAACCTCAATAATAATCGTATAATTAAATTTATGCATTTATGACAGTTTCACCAAAAACTGAAACATTCTGAGCTTCATAAACACGGATGTTAAGGCAGACGTGTTGCACTGAGCTGCATACAGTTGTACCTAATAAAGTGGCCGGTGACATATAATCTGTCATGCTCTGTTCAGTTAGGTATGTTCATGTCCAGCCTTAAGTCTAACTTCAGCCCTCTTAACAGACATGTTAGAATTTAAACTTAGCCTTTTACACTCATTCAACTCCACCAGCTGTTCTGATTTTACTGCAGCTCATTTCTCTTTTAAAATATCTGCAGTGCTGTGAGGGGGGCAACTGGCATTGTTTGGGTGAATTTGACTGCAAATATGTCACTGTATGCGGCTGCCAGACTAAACTAAAAAGGGGCTTTACACAGATATAGGCATAGCCATTGTGAATGTCTAAAAATGTCCGTGCTGGTAACTGGTTTCTTAACACAAGTGCTAAGATAAACACCGATTAGCCATGTCAAATGGCTCGATCATCATAAATATTAACTAATAACATTCACAGCAGCAACATTTAACCAAATGTTAAATGTTCATTGCTATTCCTGTTCAGTGATATAAACCTTAGTTGAGTTATAAGTTTTAAAACCCAGCGCAAAGCTGAACCCCCAAGCAGCAGCTGCTATGTCTGCTGCCCACAGTCTCTCCCTCTGCCAGACTTGCTTCTGGCTTGCCCCAATTCCATGCGAAAATCTAAAAAGTCCAAAATTGACAACAAAATCTAACCACTCAGCGTTATACTGTACATGAGGCTTTGCTGAATTTGTCAGTATAGAAATCAAATTGTTTCCGGTGGAACTGGGAGAGTACCCCTTCAGTAAAGCACTCAAAACCAAGCATTCAGGGGCCAGGGACTGGCTACAATTTGAGTGACATTTCATTTCAGTGGTACAAAACCCCTTCTGGGACATGGTGATGTGCACTGCACTGCAGAGTTCAAGAAAATACAGCCTTTGATGTTGATATCAGCTCTAGTGAGCCTTTCCGTCTCACTGTCTGTCCTGTAGGTTCAGAGTTGTCTCGCAGCAGACTGAGGAACATGGTAACGCTACATCTATCTGGTCTGGATATCAGTGACACTACTTTGAGGCTGCTGCAGCGCCACATGCCCCAACTGGAGAGACTGGACCTTGCTCACTGCAAGAACATAACTGACTCTTCCATTGCCCTGCTAGCAGCAGCCGGGACTCACACCCGCAACAACCTCACTGAGCTCACACTGGCAGGTAGGTGTTTAAGCACAGTCCCCATTATGACGTGGACTTTAAGCTGTTGTCTGATCCTGCAGAATTTCATCTAGTTGGTTCTTTGGTTTGGTTTGATGGTTGAACTGTTTAGTTTCTGTGGTTTTCTCCACTGTACAACCTAGAAGTGATGTCTTTAAGCAGCATTCAGCCTGCCCTTCTGTCAGGAAAAAATTGGTATTGGTAGTGATTGTGACTGATATGTCAGAGGTTCCACCTGACCAGTCTGTGTTGCTACCACTAGTAGCAAAGGTCCCCTCAGATTCATCCCATGCTGCAAGTTCATCCTTTAAACCCTCAGTCAAAGATCAAAGTGTTTATTTGTAATATGCACAGTTAGGAAACGTGTTTCCCTGTACAATGAAATTCTTACTTTGCCATCCACATGAGTGCCACATAAAACAAGTGAAATATAAAGTAGATGAACAATAACACAAATCTAAATAGGCAGTAAAATCACAAGTCTAAGTCACTTTAAAGCAGCAAGTGAAGTAAGCAAATATAAATACAACAAGAAAACAATATAATGTAGAGAGAATATATGCAACATGGGAGTCATGGAGTGCAAATACTCAGCAGTGAGTGTGCAATTATGCATGTGCAAAATGAGTATGTAAACGGTACAGATGGAATTGCATGAGGTAGATTCTGAGTCAGCTGTTTAGGAGTCTCATGGCAGTTGGAAAGAAAGAGCAGGAATCTTCCATATATGAATGTCTGTTTTGTGTACTGGTTTGAAAGGGTTTATCTTAGAAATCATATGATCACTATTTGTTCAGGTACAGAACATATTAGGCTCATTCAAGATGGATTGCCTGACTTGTCTGCCTGTCTCTCTCTAACCTTTTTTATACGGACAGCTTTTTTTTATTTAAACCCCTTTTACACTACACTCAAAAAGCCCAGAAAACTGCCACTCCTGTGTTCTTTTTAGACAGATGCTGTATTGGATGTATGATGTTGAACATAATGTCCAGGGTGTAGCTGTTGTGGTGGGTGGCCAGTAATCAGGCAGGATGGCTTGGATTTAACAACTATTTACGGGTGATCTGTAGCATGGCAGCATGAACAGGAATATGGGAAGAACAATGATATACCTGCGAACCTATACAGTATATCATAGCAGCAACATAGCACACCTAGTTGCAGAGCAGTAAAATAACAGGCAACATAATACAATGAACAGAACACAACAATAGCCTATAATCGTGCATACTGTATAACACAACCATTGGTAAAACAATGCATACCGGCAGCATTCAAAATTAACTTTTTGATGCACCAGCCAAGATGTCAGGTAGATGAAATGTCCACCTGCCAAACTTATAGTCAGTACAGAAAATATTCTGACCCTTTCAGGTTTGCCACATTTTGTTTTGTTTCAGACTCAAAATGAATTAGGTTTATTTTTTCTCATTGATCTACACACAGTACTCCACAGTGATAAAGTGAGAACGGGTTTTTTGGGTGTTTTGTAAATATATTAAAAATTTAAAAAAACTGAAATATCCCATTTACATACAGACCCTTTGCCTTAGTACTTGGTTAAAGCACCTTTGGCAGCAACGACAGCCTCAAGTCTTCTTGAGAATGATGCTGCAAACTTGATGCCTTTCTTTTGGAATTTTCTCCGTTCTTGGCAGAATCATTTGAGGTCAACCAGGTTGGATGGTGAGCATTGGTGCACAGCCATTTTCAGGTCTCTCCAGAGATGCTATTGTAGGTTCAGGTCGGGACTCTGGCTGGGCCACTCCAGGACTTTCATACAGTTTTCCTGAAGCCACTTCTAGGTTATCTTGGTGTTAGGCTTCAGGTCATTGTCTTGTTGAAGTGTAAACCTTCACCCCAGCCTGAGATCCTGAGCGCACTATATTTTTCTGCATCCATCCCTCCCTCTATCCTGACTAGTCTCCCAGTCCCAGTTGCCATAGCCTGATTCTACCTCCACCGTGATTTGACTGTAGGGATGAGGTGATGCTCAGTGCCTGGTTTTCTCCACACACACTGTTGGGAATTGTGGCCAAATAGTTCTTTTTTTTTTTTATTCCATCAGACCAGAGGACTTTGCTTCTCATACTCTGAGTCCTTCAGGTGCCCTTTGGCACACTTCCAGTGGGCTGTCATATTCCTTTTAGTGAGGAATGGTTTCTGTTTGACCACTCTACCATAGAGGCCTGAGCACTCCAGTCTGTAAACCAGCCTAGAAGTGTTTTTTCTAAAATACTTTGTGATCTGCAGCAGATAATTCTGCAGGGAGCACAGGCTGTTACCAGCCAGGTGTCTATTCTGTCCAATCATGATAAAGTTGTTCTTTATTTAGTCACAGCTAAGCGTGTTTTAAAAATTAAAAATCTCTATCTCTACCTGTGTCTCTGCCTCTCTCTGTCTCTTCTCCAGGCTGTAGTGAGCTGACAGATGGCTGTCTGTCTTACGTGAAGCGCCTCTCCTCGCTGACTCTGTTGGACCTCAGAGGTTGTAAGGCTGTCAGCAGACGAGTCTGTGACATCTTCATCTCTGACCTGTCCTACATTGCCCTTTACTGTATGATGGAGGAAAAGCTTATTCAGCGCCTGGACTAACACAAATACTGTTACGTGGTCTACTGTTGGAGAGGAGAAAAAAATGCTTTTTCAAATTTACTTTCAACATGCCTTGTTTATCAAAACATGGAGAGAACCAAACCTGCTTTTAAGCTAACAATCCTTTGACGCCCAAAACAAATAGCTCCTAAATTCAATGTCTTCTGGTACAAGCTGTAAATAACATTTTTGGAGTTGTTAGAAGGGTCTTTCTTCACTGTTGATAGAACAATAGAAGCAGTTTCCCCTTGCCTCCTACCATCAATATCACACCTATCTGGCAAAGCTATAAACAAGTGTTTTTCTAAAATGTCTCTTTCTTTAAAAAGTTTTGAATGGTTAAATTCATTGACTCCAAATATTATGACTCCTCAAAGGTTGACATTGTCTTCATATTTTATATCATTGCTTAATGATTTGAATTTATTGTATTGATTACACATTTGCTGAATGAGTATTCAATAAATGTGAATGCAATGAATGATTTATTTGACAACCTTTGTGTAGAATTTAGCATAAAATTTTCCATATTAATATAACAGTGGTGTTTATAGTTATGGGAAAAGTGGGTATCATCTTGAAAACTGAGGTAAGGATTTTTGTGCAGATACAACCAATTATAGCGTGTTGGCAATTGGGCAACATATGTAAATAGGCTTTATGTCTGTACAAGATGAGCAAGTACTCAGTAGTTTTATACAGTGCCTATAAAAAGTATTCATCCCCTTGGATGTTTTACCCTTTTATTGATTTTATAAATCAATCATGGTCAATATAACTAGGCTTTTTTTGACAAAGAAATTACCCAAAAAAGCCTTTTTAATGTCAAAGTGAAAACAGATTTCTACAAAGTAATGTCAATTAAATAATATGTAATGGGAAATAAGTGGTTGCATAAATATTCACCCCCTTTAAAATTACTGACCTAATTCAACAGAGGTCCAGCCAACTGGTCTAGTAGTCTCACAGTTAGTGAAATGGGGATCACCTGAGTGCAGTGAATGTGTCTCAAGTGACTGTAGTATAAAGACACCTGTGTCTGGAAGATCCAGTCAGTGGTTAATCAGTATTCCTGGCTACCATTACACCCTGAAGACAAAAGAACACTCCAAGCAACTTAGAGAAAAGGTTATTGAAAAATATAAGTCAAATGATAGATTAAAAAAAATTCCAAGGCACTGAACATCCCCCAGAGTTCAGTTAAATTCATCATCAAGAAATGGAAAGAATATGGCACATGTCTAAATCTGCCTAGATCAGGCCATCCTTGCAAACTGAGTGACCATTCAAGAAGGAGACTAGTGAGTGAGGCCACCAAGACACCTGTGACTACACAAAAGGAGTTACAAGCTTCAGCAGCTGAGATGGGAGAGACTCTGCATACAACAACTGTTGCCCAGGTTCTTCACCAGTCAAAGCTTTATGCGAGAGGGGCAAAGAGAAAGCCATTCATATTAAATCTCGACTAGAGTTTGCCAAAAGGCATGTGGGACACTCGATGGTCAATAAATAATTAAAATAAAATAAATAGAATCAATGCAAGAATAAAACGGCACAATAACACAGATGCACAAATGGCATACAGTCAATTAAAAGAAGAGCTTCAGGCCCTACTAAGTATTAAAAACCAAGAAAAATAAATATATTTTAAGCAATGATTTAAAAGTAGTCAGGTCAGCAGCTGATCTGACATTGAGAAGTAAAGTATTCCACTTTAGGGGCTGCAACAGTTTATAGCACGGTCACTCAAGCATTTATATCTGGCCCTAGGAACCTCTAAGAGAAATTGCCTTGAAGATCTGAGGGATCCTGTAGGTTTGTGACATTGCACTAGTTCAGTGAGGTAGGATGGTGCCAAACCATTAAGAGCCTTAAAAACAAAAATCAACAGCTTAAAATCCATTCTAAAAAAAGACTGGAAGCCAGGGGAGAGAGGTCAGTACTGGGGTTAATAAACATGCAAGTGACATATCAGCTGCAGGTCACATGATGATTGACACTACTAATGAGCAAACAATACCTTCTTGACACATGTCTCTGATTAATGATACCTCCAGACATTATAAACATGTTAAAAACATCATTAAGCGATTAAAAAGTAACATGCAACATATCAACCTTTCCTACAAATATGTCCAACCCATCAAAGGGGACAAACAGACACATTAACCTGTCACAGGATGGCATCTTAAAAACTAAACATTAAAACATTGAAGGTGCTTTCATTTCTCTCCCTCTTGGAGGTGCAGCAGGTGTCTCAATGTCTCCAGCCAGTCTGAGCAACTGTCCAAGTAATAGACTGATACATTTGTTTCTCCCTCTTGCCTGCTTTAAGGCTACTAGGGGTCATCTCCTGGTCAACTTTCTCACCTCTGCCTGTATCACCATTATCAGCCTGAATTCACAACAATACTGAGCAAGTATGCTGATGAATAAACTGAAGTAAAAGAAAATAACTGTTAAAATAAAATGCAATAAATATGATGAATAGATGAAATTAAGACTATTTCTGTACCTTAACTCTCTTGGTCTCTAAAGATGTCCACAAACATTGTTCCAGGTTGTTTATAGGATATATAGAAAATCTCCCCACTGATCAATGACAATGACATTTCACAATTATCCACAAATCTTAACTCCTAGCAATTAAATATTGTATGTTACCTCCAGGAAATGGTATTGCTGTAGAATAGCAGGTTGTATAAAGTATAAAAGAACTGTCACCAAGGATGAACAAGACAGTCTGGGCAAAATTACAGAACCTCTAAGTCCCTGCAAGGAGATCTGACACTGAATACAGAAAGAGTTTCACAAGAGTTAGTAAAGCTGAAGATAGCTCTAGGTGATGGTAATTATATTGACAAATAAATAAAAAAAACAAAAACAGTGGACCAGCAATTTTATATCTTGTAGTGCACTGCACACTATATATATTGACAGTGTTTAAAAAGTAGGTGTAAAAATCAGATCAATCTAGTCTAGTTGGACTTTTAATTCTGGTTAGCCCTATTTTTAAAATGGCTATATACTCCAACTAAACCGATATGAATGGTAGAAATGTCTGTCAAACGTTTGTGCTGCTACAGTGACCTCTATTGGAAGGTAGGTAAGACTGCGGAACAGAAAGAGTCATTGCTGTTGGGGCACCCCTCAGTTTTTGAAGACATGGTATAATCTCAGTTGCCAGCAGCCAATGGGAAATGAGGACACTTGCGTCATCAACAATTTATAACAACACGTAGACTACGCGCAAACAATACGTAGCTCCAGGCGTTGATTCCGCGCGTTTTTTTTTTTGGGTCATATTTGTCTTTACATACGGGAAGTGCAGTTCATCTCTAATGAGCCCTTTCTTTTTGCTGCTGCAAATCATTGTAACAGGGATCTGGACCAAAACGGAAGTAAATATATTGCTAGGGCTCCCCCTAAAAAGAGTTTGCCAATCTAAATGGGGTTTTTGCCCTGGCTAAATTATGCAGTATATAGGCTTGCAAAAATAATCCTGCCTTTTCTAGATGAGAGTAAAAAAAGAAAAAAAAAAAACTGAAAATCGGACATGACCAGTACTACCACAGCTGTTAAATACATTGTTCATAAGAGCAGACTCTTGAGCTTCTTGTCTAAAACTGGTGCTAGATTAGAGAATTATGTTGTATATTTGTTGTCACCCTGTTGCAAACATTAGTTATGTGGATAAGATCCTCCTGATAATCTCGTTTAGCCTATATGTGTGGTTTCATATGCAAAGTCATTCCTTTTATTCTACTGACTGCAATAAGTGTTATCTTTAATCTTCCTCCCCTCAGCAAGGTCACAGTTTCAAATATCCCTTTTTTCTGACCAAGAAACAAAATCCAGAGTCATCCTTGTAACTGTTAAAAACAGGTAATATTTCACTATGTTACTGAAAGATGGCTTATAACGATTACTCAATTATGAAAATAGTTTTCAGTAAATTTTTGTTTCACAAATAAATAAATTGGCCACTTGTTACAACAGCTCTATGTCTAATATATATCTTTAGTTGACGGAAAACAGTCCAACATATAGCTTACTTATACAGTACAGATGAAATGGTTTTATTTCGAAATGGAGGAACAGGAAGTACGTCTCCCTTCTATGAAACCTAGTTTTTTCTTTCTTTACACGGTAGCTAGCTTGTCGTGTGCAGCTGTGTGATACATCTGACACAGTAGTGTTTTTCTTTTCATTCCTGTAGCTGTAGTTATTATCTAAAGATGAATACGGTTTTGTCCAGAGCTAACTCTTTGTTTGCTTTCTCTCTGAGCGTCATGGCTGCCTTAACTTTCGGATGTTTCATCACGACGGCTTTCAAAGACAGAAGAGTTCCTGTGGACATCCACGTCTCTAAAGTCATGCTGTAAGATTTGTCTACAGCGTCTGTTAACATTAACAGTTTCCGTGTATATATTGTGTTATAGCTATGTCACATTTATTAATGAAGGCTGAATCATGCCACAAGTGTGCAGGACAAGCAAAAGCACATCCTTACTCTATTCTTCCGCCATTGTTGATTTGATAGCGATGCTTTGTATTTCTGATGTGCGTGTCACACTGGATATCAGGTTAAATGTCAGGCCCCTAATTCTGGTATCTTTATATAAATAACACGGGTGATGTCACACAATGCCAGATTTTTTTTTTAGTTAATTATAAATAAGCAAAGCTGGAATATAAAAGTCCCAGCTTAATGCCAGTAGAATAGAATCTTTGTCTAAAAGAGGCTTATGAAGCACATCTGCTGTATAGAGTGATAGCAGTCAGTTTCTTTAATCCTAGCATATTCCAAATCCTTCTCCCACACTCATTCACACTTGTGATGTCATGTTGTGTGTTCACCAGTAGCTCTGTACCATCAGTCTGCTTGCTGTGTTTTAATTAAACTTTTAGTTGGAGGAAGATCGTTTCTCAAATCTCACTTGCCCTGTTTCCCTGCATCGTTTCGCTCCCTTCATTAACCTTCTCCCACTCTGTTAAACAGGAAGAACGTTGATGACTTCACAGGACCCAGAGAGCGCAGTGATCTGGGTTTCATCACCTTTGACGTCTCAGCTGATATCCTTTAGACTACTTCTACTGAAAGTTATATGTACTGTAGTGCACAGTAGAGGTGCATTTATTTATAGAGCAAAGGCACACCTGTGCAATAATCATGCTGTCTAATCAGCATCTTGATATGCCACACCTGTGAGGTGGATGGATTGTCTCGGCACAGGAGAAGTTCTCACTAACACAGATTTAGACAGATTTGTTAACAATATTTGAGAGAAATAGGCCTTTTGTGTACATAGAACAAGACGTAGCTCTTTGAGTTCAGCTCATGAAAAATGGGGGAAAACACAAAATTATAAACGCAACACTTTTGTGTTCTATTTTAAAACACTTCTAATGAAGCTTGTCCTAGTGTATTTTGACCCCTTCTTTTTCCTCATTCTGGTGCACAAAGCAGCAATTTGCTCACTATTGCCAAACTGTTTATGGTGCTGACTTAGTCCCTGTGTGTAAAGAAGTGACCTCAACCAGTATCTGTACTCTTGTTGTTCCTTAACTTTACCTACATTTGCAGCCAATTTTTGACTGGAATGTTAAACAGCTGTTCCTATATCTGTCTGCTGAGTACTCCACAAAGAGCAATGTAAGTCATATTTAACATGTGTGTGTGTCTGTTTATATTTTGTCCTCCCCAGTTAGATACACTCATGGCCAAAAATATTGGTGAAAATTGTTGCAATCACAAATTCCTTGGCATTCTCATGTTTATTTCTTTTGTTTGCATTGGAACAACACATAAAAGCAGAGAAAAAAGCCAAATCTTATAGATTCCAAACAGAACTCCAAAAGTAGACTGGACAGAATTATTGACAACTGACACCTTGGTCCAAACTTGGCAAAAGTTGGAATTTTTTTTACTGGATGCTACCCATTTGATTTTAAAGATAGATAGATAGATAATCCTTTATTGTCATTGTAAAAGTGTCCTTAATGATGTTCTGGGCTTTTTTGAGAAGAGTTAGGAGAGGGCTGGCAATGATCTCCTGGGCTGTATTAATGACCCTCTGGAGCGTTTTCCTCTGAGCCATTGTGCTGCTGCTGTACCATACACATATACAGTATGTAAGGATGTTCTCTGGAGCACCGAAAGGACACCAGCAGTCTCTGGGAGATGTTCTTCCTGAGCACCTGTAGGAAGTACATTCTCTGCTGGGCCTTTTTAAGCAGTTTAGAGGTATTCATGCCCCAGGCCAGATCCTCCTTCATATGGATTCCCAGAAAGCGGAAGGCCAGCACCCTCTCCTCACGGTCCCCGCTGATATACAGCGGTAAGAAGTAGGTTTTCTTCGTCCTGAAGTCAACAATGACCTCCTTAGTCTTTGAGGTATTAAGGAGCAGATTGTTCTCTCTGCACCACACTATCAGCCTCTCCACCTCATCAGCTATGTCACATTTATTAATGAAGGCTGAATCATGCCACAAGTGTGCAGGACAAGCAAAAGCACATCCTTACTCTATTCTTCCGCCATTGTTGATTTGATAGCGATGCTTTGTATTTCTGATGTGCGTGTCACACTGGATATCAGGTTAAATGTCAGGCCCCTAATTCTGGTATCTTTATATAAATAACACGGGTGATGTCACACAATGCCAGATTTTTTTTTTAGTTAATTATAAATAAGCAAAGCTGGAATATAAAAGTCCCAGCTTAATGCCAGTAGAATAGAATCTTTGTCTAAAAGAGGCTTATGAAGCACATCTGCTGTATAGAGTGATAGCAGTCAGTTTCTTTAATCCTAGCATATTCCAAATCCTTCTCCCACACTCATTCACACTTGTGATGTCATGTTGTGTGTTCACCAGTAGCTCTGTACCATCAGTCTGCTTGCTGTGTTTTAATTAAACTTTTAGTTGGAGGAAGATCGTTTCTCAAATCTCACTTGCCCTGTTTCCCTGCATCGTTTCGCTCCCTTCATTAACCTTCTCCCACTCTGTTAAACAGGAAGAACGTTGATGACTTCACAGGACCCAGAGAGCGCAGTGATCTGGGTTTCATCACCTTTGACGTCTCAGCTGATATCCTTTAGACTACTTCTACTGAAAGTTATATGTACTGTAGTGCACAGTAGAGGTGCATTTATTTATAGAGCAAAGGCACACCTGTGCAATAATCATGCTGTCTAATCAGCATCTTGATATGCCACACCTGTGAGGTGGATGGATTGTCTCGGCACAGGAGAAGTTCTCACTAACACAGATTTAGACAGATTTGTTAACAATATTTGAGAGAAATAGGCCTTTTGTGTACATAGAACAAGACGTAGCTCTTTGAGTTCAGCTCATGAAAAATGGGGGAAAACACAAAATTATAAACGCAACACTTTTGTGTTCTATTTTAAAACACTTCTAATGAAGCTTGTCCTAGTGTATTTTGACCCCTTCTTTTTCCTCATTCTGGTGCACAAAGCAGCAATTTGCTCACTATTGCCAAACTGTTTATGGTGCTGACTTAGTCCCTGTGTGTAAAGAAGTGACCTCAACCAGTATCTGTACTCTTGTTGTTCCTTAACTTTACCTACATTTGCAGCCAATTTTTGACTGGAATGTTAAACAGCTGTTCCTATATCTGTCTGCTGAGTACTCCACAAAGAGCAATGTAAGTCATATTTAACATGTGTGTGTGTCTGTTTATATTTTGTCCTCCCCAGTTAGATACACTCATGGCCAAAAATATTGGTGAAAATTGTTGCAATCACAAATTCCTTGGCATTCTCATGTTTATTTCTTTTGTTTGCATTGGAACAACACATAAAAGCAGAGAAAAAAGCCAAATCTTATAGATTCCAAACAGAACTCCAAAAGTAGACTGGACAGAATTATTGACAACTGACACCTTGGTCCAAACTTGGCAAAAGTTGGAATTTTTTTTACTGGATGCTACCCATTTGATTTTAAAGATAGATAGATAGATAATCCTTTATTGTCATTGTAAAAACGTACAATGAAATTTTAGAGTGACCTCCAGTCAGTACAGCAATAGAAAAAAAAACAGCATATGAAATAAGACCATATATAAAACTTAACTGGTAGAAAAATAAAATAAACAACAGACCTCTCACACACAGGCATATTATATTTTAGCAGCATTGAGTGTGGTAACTGCTGTTGGGTAAAAACTATTCTTGAATCTAGTGGTCCTTGATTTGATTGCTCTGAACCGTCTACCTGATGGCAGCAGTTCAGAGAATGAACGTCCTGCGTCAGATGAATCAGTATTTCAGGTATTATTTTTTGCAAGGAATGGACGCCGTGTGCTCTGGACCATCCAGACTGTTACTGGTAACAAGTCCAAAAGCTAGGGTCTGTCATGGTCACTTGGTAATTTCCTAACCGGAGGATTTTTGATTCCCAACAGTGGCAATATGTCGGTTCTCTTCCTCCTGAAGTCGACAATGACTTTTGAGGCATTAAAGAGCAGATTGTTCTCTCTGCACCACACTATCAGCCTCTCCACCTCATCCCTGTAGGTAGTCTCATCCCCCCAGAGATAAGTCCCACCACCGTGGTGTCATCAGCAAATTTTACAATGGTGTTGCCATGGTGGGCAGGGGTGCAGTCATGGGTGTACAGGGTGTAGAGCAGGGGGCTCAGCACACAGCCTTGTGGTGAACCAGTGCTGTGGCTAAGAGCCGTGGATGTGTGTTAGCCCACTCTCACCCTCTGGCTGCGTCCGGCCAGGAAGCTCTTAATCTGTATGCAGGTGGAATATGGAAATCCCAGGTCCACCAGCTTGTCCACCAGTTTCTGGGGGAGGATGGTGTTGAATGTGGAGCTATAATCCACAAAGAGCAGCTGTGCATCGCTCTCCTGATGCTCAAAGTGGGGACAGTACAGCATGGAGGCCTGCGGCTACAGGGTCCTCTGTGGATCTATTTGCCCTGTATGCAAACTGGTGTGGGTCAGATGCTGGTGGGAGGAATGACGTGTCCCCATACCAGTTTCTCAAAACACTTCATCACCATGAGTGAGTGCAACTGGCTAGTAGTCATTGAGGCTGGTTGTATTGGGTTTCTTAGACAGGGGAACTGGGATGGAAGGTTGCTAAGGTATCATTTTCTCAAATTTGTAAATTTATGCTAGTGCTAGCTTGTCAGCAAAGCAAATAAGATGATTGTGTCCTTTCAGCAATGTTAACCTAGCTTGCTTAGTTAATTCTGGAGAGGTGTTATTTTAAGCTATGAAAATACATAATACAGCTCCCTTGTCCCCTCACCAAGCAACACCATATATATTTAAAAGGGTCACTTGGATTTTTAACATATTGGCTTAAGTCACAGTCTAATATTTTGAACAGACATTACTTTTTTGTGGCCCCTGCACACCGTAACTGCTAAAGTCACTCGCTAGCTTTCAGAGAGCTCCAGTCGCCAATGATTTGTGGCAGTAAAAGAAGAAAAACTAATATTATTGTGAACAAATGTGATTTAGAACATTGTAAAATTGTAAATATTATTATTGTGAATAATATTGTTTTATTTATTTATTTTTAGGGTGTCAGTTAATATTTGTCCAGATTATCCTGTCTAATTTACAGTTTTTCTTTTCATAACTGGACATTGTCAATGACGTAAACTGAAAGTGAAATTAATCTTAATTGCATCTGTGTGTGCGTCTCAGTCTCTGAACCAGGTGGTTCTGTGGGATAAAATTGTCCTTCGAGGTGAAAATACCAAACTGAATCTCAGAGACATGAAGTCCAAATACTTCTTCTTTGACGATGGGAATGGACTCAGGTTAGACACACACACACACACCCTTATACACATACAATGAAAGCTGTGTACATTTCATGACAATCTGCCCATTAGAGTTGACTTCAATAACGCATTCATGAAGATGGCTCAAGCAATTTTCTATACCTAAATCAACCCCAAATCAGAAAAAATTCAAACTGAAAATAGTGATGTGTAAATCATCTGTGTCCTGTATTACATTGAAAACAATACAGCAGTACATTTTTGATATGATAGATCATCAATTTTATTCTTTGCTTATAATAAACACTCATTTTAATTCTGATCCCTGCAACACATTCCAAAAAAATTGGGATGGTTGCATTTCAGGGCTGGTAATGACATAAAACAATGAAATGATGATTCCATTTGAAACAGGTGATGTCAACAGGTGACTGCAATCAGGTACAAAAGTGACATCCAGGAAAGGCCGAGCCCTTTAGAAGCAAAAATGGGCAGAGGACCGCCTGTTTGCCAACATATATATGAGAGAATTATTGAAATGTTTAAAAACAGTGTTCCTCAGAGAAAGATAGAAAGGGATTTGGATATGTCACCCTCCAAGGTGCAGAACACAACGTAATGACATAAAACAATGAAATGATGATTCCATTTGAAACAGGTGATGTCAACAGGTGACTGCAATCAGGTACAAAAGTGACATCCAGGAAAGGCCGAGCCCTTTAGAAGCAAAAATGGGCAGAGGACCGCCTGTTTGCCAACATATATATGAGAGAATTATTGAAATGTTTAAAAACAGTGTTCCTCAGAGAAAGATAGAAAGGGATTTGGATATGTCACCCTCCAAGGTGCAGAACACAACTAAAATATTTAAGGAATCTGGAGGGATTTCAGTGCGTAAAGGGAAAGGGCACAAGCCTAAGCTGGATGACCATGCTCTCCGATCCCTCAGAAGGCACTGCATCAATAATTGTCACTCTTCTATGAGTGATATAACCACAAGGGCTTAGGATTACTTTGGCACACCTGTATCAGGCACTACAATACATAGTTACATCCATAAATGTTGCTTAAAACTGTACTATGCCAAAAGGAAGGCCTATGTCAACAGTGTACTGAAGTGCCGTCGACTGCTCTGGGCTCAGAGGCATCACACAGTGGAAATATGTACTATGGTCAGATGAATCAGTATTTCAGGTATTATTTTTTGCAAGGAATGGACGCCGTGTGCTCTGGACCATCCAGACTTCCAAAAGCTAGTGTCTGTCATGGTCACTGGGTAATTTCCTAACCGGAGGATTTTTGATTCCCAGCTTGTCCAGTCACCATGTCGAAGTGTCCTTGAAACACTGAATCCCCAGTTGCTCCCGGTGATGACATCGGTGTGTGAACGTGTGAGCGTTTGTGAGTGCGAATGGGTGAATGGCCAAGTAGAAAGCACTTTGAATGTGCTGTAAAGCATAGAAAAGCGCTATACAAGTATAAGACCATTTACTGTCATTTTGAAATACAAATTGCGTCAATGAAGACACAGGACTGTTGTGCACTTTATGACTTGTTTGCAGGAAGAATGAGACAAAATGACACGACATACTTAGGGACTCAGGACACCAAATGATTAAGTGTCTTTTAAGTTTTGTGAAAAGGAGGGGCAACATTGCACAGTGGTAAATGCTTTACTGTCCCAACTTTTTTTGGAATGTGTTTCAGGCATCAGAATTGAAGTGAGTGTTTATTTTGAACAAAAAGTCAAATTGATGAGTTATCACATCAAATAATGTGCTGCTTTATTGTTTTCAATTTAATACAGGGCACATATGATTTGTAAATCATTTTCAGTTTTAGTATTGATTTCACATTTGACTTCTGATTAGGGGTTGTAGTAAATTTCATATATAACATCAGCAGCATGCTCTTTATAAGCTTTTAAATAATATTAAATCTGATGTGCTCATTTTTGTGGTCTACAATTTATACAGATGCTGTGTAATATGGTTGGCTGACTGTCATTTTTGTCTCATCTCCAGAGCCAATAAGAACATCACTCTGACGCTGTCATGGAATGTTGTTCCCAATGCTGGAATCCTGCCTCTAGTGGCTGGAAGTGGACACTTCAGCCTCCATTTCCCAGACACTTATGAGACCACCAAGAGCTACTAGACTGAAATAAACACACATCTGGGCATCCAGATGCATACTGTGTGTGTGTGCGCGCGCACACACACGCATACACACACATATACTTGTACTTCTGTTTTTGTGAGGGCACTCACTGACATAATGCATTCCCTAGCTCCTTACCCTAACCTTAACCATCGGAACTAAATGCCTAACCCTAATCTAAACCTAATTATAACCTGAATCCTAAAACTAAGTCTTAACCCTCTACAAGCTGTTTCAGGAAGTGAGGACAAGCCAAAATTTTCTCACTCTGTAGCAAAAAATACTTTTTTGGTCCTCACTATGTAGCAAGTACAAGAACACGCACACAGATGAAACAAGAGAAGCACAGGTTCAAGCTGATGATCCACTGGTCTTCATAAATTTAAATGACTTTTTGGTTTATAATAAAAGTTGAGATTAGAACATCTGTCTTTGTGAGTTTTATTTTTAAAGGGGGTCAGTTCAACCAATAAAAAAAAACACGACTTACCCTTTATGTTGACATTGGTGGGTTTGAATTCAGCCATGATGTAGTGCGCTGTATATAGGCTACTCGGATAAATACCAAATTCAATCTTATGGTGAACAAGATAAAGATTTGATAATTGTGTTTAAGATCGCATCCAGAGAAATTTTAAGGTATGTAAAGATTATGCTATGAAACATATAGTCTAACAGAGTTCTTCCACCGTCACAACAGTTATGAGACAAAGAAGGAAGGTAACATGATCCTAAGTAATAGTAAATAAATAAATATGTCTGTGAATAGGTCAGTTATATATGAAATGTAATAGCAAAGTTCATTCCATTACAAGAACCCAAATTCTAGTAACTTGCCCTATCATGGCTGCCAGTTGCTCGAAGCACGAGCTAATCACTGCAGGCAAGTACCCTGAGGACAGAGGAAAGAGGAGGATACCCTGGGTCCTTTTTCTCAGTCTTTGTTCTGATTTGTCATTTGTTCTTGCTTATGTCTGTGTTTTGTTTTTTTTATTCAAGTTTTATTTGGTCATGTCTTTTTTTTTTTTTTTTAAGTTGCTCACTTATATAATTTTTTTTAACCTTTTCTGTAGTTTGTAACAGTCAAGCCTGACCAGTATCCTAAAGGTAACATGGCGGCACTAATCTTAAAGTTTAACCAGCTGCAATTTTACTAGAGTGTCACAGTTAAGGTTGATTTTCAGTCCAACTTTTAAAGAGCCCATGGCATGCTATTCCTTGTTTTTTGAACTATCTACAATATTACGGTGGTGAATTATCATCTTAGGCATGACCTAAAGATCAAAAAATGAGATGTGCATGTGTTATAGTATTTCTATGCCAAAGTACCTCGGTTTATACATGCCTCGCAAACTCTCGCTTTCAAGACTCTTTTTCTAACAAAATGAAGTATTACTTGATAGTTTAAGGATTTCCTTGAATGGGCATAAATCCAGGCAGTTGCAAGTTCATGTGAGCTTGTCTGACATCCACCTGTGCCCCCACCATATTGGCAAAATGTTATATTGCCTTGTTTGTTATGTATATTTTCAATAAAGCTTATTTAAAAAAAGACATCCACTGTGCCATCTTAAACAGAATTTTTTGACTGCGCCCAGTTTTGTGGATATATTTTACCTCTTGCTGCACTGTGACCAGAGGATGTGGAGAAAAATACAGGGCCTGAGGTTACTGCATGTCCAGGAATGTTCATGTACATGGACTGTTTTACCTGACCGGGTCTAACCTATGATCAGCCCACCAGTGAAGCCCCCGCAGTGGTGAATGATCAGCTCATCAATGCTGGATTCCTAATTAAAGTTGTGTAACAAGTAATGTAAGACAAAATGCCATATGTAAAATTCAACAAATGAAATAAAAAATATACAGTACACCTGTATGACCTTTGTTTCCTTTTTAAAGTACTTTAGGAACTCCATCACTGAGTTTGCAGTAGTCGATTTTTGTCTGAAAGTGTTGGATGACTGAGCAAGATAGATGCATTCTGGATTGGGCTTATGCATGGTTCAGGCTTGTGGTGTAGGTTGTACCGGAGCAAAATTCGAGTACAACACAGGACGGCACTCCCTCCTTTTTAAAAACACTGCTCTGCACTGTGTTGAAAATCTGGTGTACGGGCATGGTTTGCAGCTGAAGTAGATTTGCTGATGAGTAGCTACACTACTTAACACCCAGGCGGACACCACTTCATTGCCAGTTTGTTGCAACTCCTACATGATGTTTGGGTCTACTGATTACCTTCAACTAGTATCTAGGCTATGCAGATCTGTTAACTCCAAGTAAGACTTTTTCGCTACTCTGTATTTTGTCGTCTGTGCACTTATTCTGGGAAGAGACTCACCTGTCTTCTGCTCCCGTGCTGCCAGTGATTCCTCTGCCTCATGCTCCAGCCCTAGCCTACCTCCTTCTCAGTAACTTTCCTGCAGTTAGAATTTCTCTCCAGCCTCGGCTCCCCTGGGCTGTTTTTTGCTGCTGCTACAACCTACACACCTCTCAACTCCATGTTCACCAGCAGTCCTACACCTGTCCTGGCACCATCCAGTCTGGGCTGCTCAGCTACAACGACCTCCTGCAAAAGCCTTAGGCTACTATCTTTGTTGGCTGCCTCTGCATGTCTTTGGACTGTGGGAGGAAGTTGGAGAGAACCCATGCAGGCACAAGGAGAACCTGCAAACTCCACACAGAAAGGCATTGGGTCGGCCAGGGCTTGAAACAAGAACCTTCTTGCTGTGAGTTGACAGGCCTAACCACCATGAGAATGGCATATTGTATATCATATTATTGGATTATAACTACTGATTTATTATTGTGTACTGTATACCCCATTTAATGTTGCAGGTGGTAAAGGGGCAGCTAGTTTGAACTACCTTCTATGCTTTTAATTTGAATTACTGCTGGGTAGCTTGCAAATTTCCCACCATGGTTCAATAAAGTCTTATAATCATACTGTTTCTTTTTGCATTAATCTGGTTCTGACAAGTAACTAATAATTAAATTCACACAATAAATGTAGTGCAGTAAAAAGTACAGTATTTGCTTCTAAAATATAGTGATGTCGAAGGATGAATTAAAAGAAAATGTAAATACCCAAGTACAGATAACTCAAAATTTGGGGCAGTGGTGGCCTAAAAGTTATCAAAGTGACTTGAGTCCAGGATGCAGGGTCGCAGTCTTACACGCCTCTCTGCTGTCTCCTTGCAGCTGCTACCCACCCAACGTTCCCAGTACCCCATAGAGACTGTGTCTGCCCTCCGCCCACCTAAATTATATAAATCAAGAATCAACTCCAGTGACACTGTTCATAAGAACCTAATTAAAATTAAGATGACTCCTCTTATAGTAGAAAGTAATAGGACAATCAAA